TAGGTTTAGGGGGGTTAGGTTTAGGTTTAGGGGTTTTTAGGTTTAGGGTTTACAGCGTGCTTCTGTCTCCGTGCTGTTATCGCCCTGTTGATGATGTCAGCGACGCGGTTTAGTCGAGCGCGGTTTAGTCGAGCGCGGTTTTGTGGTGGAACCTCATTCAATTGGGACATCCCACTGGAGCATTGGCCTTTGTGCTGTCTTTAGAGTCAAGTCCACAATGTCAAACTGAGCTTATTCCTAGATTCATTTATGAATTATAGCTATTCCAGATTGCTTGCTTTGGCTGGACACATGCACTCAATGCGGCAAGTGAGATTTGAAAAGAAAAGGAATCTTATCAAAATACAGGCCGGTAATTTTTTTCATGAGGGTGCATGATTTTTTTTTTAAATGCCAAAGAAACACCAAATGATAGATTTGTTCTACCTTGTTTCTCCTAGGAAAAATGTCAGGATGCTGTAAAAATCAATGTTGTATTGCTTTATTGAACTAAGATCGAGCCAATGTGCTACGTTGCACACTTCAGAGTGCAAAGATATTGGTTCAGCTGGCAGAAAAGGAAACACAGATGCAGGGTTGTTCAGCAATAAATCTTTTAGTCTCACAGCTTGTCAATTTCTGCCACCTTCCATCATAAAGGAAAGGAAGAAAAGGGGAAGAAATGGGAGATCTCTCTTCCAAAGCAGTCAAATGGCTGTTCAGATTAGTCTGAAAGAAAATCCACTGGATCCCTTCCCGTCCAGATGTTGCTGAACTCTAATTCCTATAATTCCACTAACGGGGCCAGGACTGAGGGATTTTGGGAACTGTAGTTCAGCAGCATAGGGAAAGGCCTTGTTCTCCTCAACATTTGCTATTAAGGATTCCAGCAGAATTTCCTGCGCCAAACAGGAATGACGCATGGCATCTAGACGAAATTGCAATTCATCGCAAAGAGGCCTGGGACCAAAAGGGCAGCTTCAATCTCGTAGTTATGCGGATCAGGAGATATTTAGAATAGGGTAAATAACAGAGTTGGAAGGGACCTTGCAGGTCTTCTAGTCCAACCCCCTGCTTAGGCAGGAAACCCTACCTCACTTCAGACAAATGGTTATCCGATCTCTTCCTAAAAACTCTCAGTGTTGGAGCATTCCCAACTTCTGGAGTCAAGTTCTTCCACTGATTAATTGTTCTAACTGTCAGGAAATTTCTCCTCAGTTCTAAGTTGCTTCTCTCCTTGATTAGTTTCCACCCATTGCTTCTTGTTCTATATATACCCAGTTCCTGCAACTGTTCTTCATATGTTTTAGTCTCCAGTCCCCTA